AGGTAATAAATTTAATATGCCTATATTTAAGTATTCTATAAATTATAAGAAAATATGATTATAATGCTATGGATTCTCATAATATCGCCTCTTTAACATTCTGTATTTGCGTAACATATATAAAGCTTCCAGTTCTTTAATAACAAAGTTACCATGAGCCAACATTTTGTCGATTTTCATAGGATCACGTTCTTCTTTATTCTTTTCAAAAACTCTCTTCAAGTTTTTTCTGAATAGCTCACTACCTCCTGGATATTCACGACCCATGTACAAAAGCTAAAAATATGTAGTTTATTAATAACAATAAGCTAAGTGATATTTCATTTCCTCATTATATGTATCAAGTACTATGCAGTCGTTCAAACAGAAACAGTGCGTTAATCTGCTAATTAACAATTAAACTATATATAAAATTTAATTAATATATCATACCGTTTTGTATAATTGAATAACTTTACTTCGTTGAGACATTAGTAAAAGTAAAATAATAAGTATTCGTAAGTCTGTGGTCAGTACCGTACTCGGTATTCGATATAAACAGATAAATGAATGAGAAGACGAGAGGAACGACGTAGAATCAGTAGCGTAAATCAGCGTAGATTCGCACAACTTCGGTTGCATTCGGCTTGTCTGCCGCAGAGGGCATCTTTCAATTACTACGTATATAAGTCCGTGTTTTATCTATCATTTTATCGCGTTTTATGTTAGCTATACAAAATGTTACGGGTATTTTCGAGAAGTATCTTCACATCTGTGATTTAGTAATTATTATTTGATCTTAAATAAAATGTTCATCAACTTTATCGTCAGGAAATCATGACTTGAAATTTATTTATTAATTAATTCGTGATGATACAATATCGTCTTGATTAATGTCTGCATCTGATATACTTCAAGTATGAAGATAATTTTTATATATTGAATTTTTCACTATATTGCCATTCACAAAAATAACTTTAATAGAAATCACATTCAAATACGTATGGAAATATTTAAAAATCGTACGTTCGCATGATCCATTACGCAGGCGTATTATATTGATCCTAAGGTCGGAATATTTTCAATTAA